CCAGGGCCGGTAAGAGCCCGTCCAGGGCCGGTAAGAACCCATCCATGCCCGGCATGCCCGTCTCTGCTGGGGGCACATCCAGCTGCAGAGGGAAAGGCCCATGTGAGAGGGAACAGCAGCCCAGTCCTTGCTCCCCCTGGAATGAAGCCTCAGAGAGGGAAAAGGGCTTAGTCCATGCCACACAGCCATGCTGTTTCTGAGCAGTCCTGGAAGGGGTGTGCAGGGAACCTGGGGCCACCCGCCCTCCTAGGGAAGGAGTCAGGGGTAGGGCGTGAGGAAAGCAGGGGTGGGTGTCTCTCCAGGAGTGGGCCTGGGACGAAGGAGCTGCCCAAGTCCCAACGCCCTGCCTCAGCCCCCACTTGTGGACATCGTTGAGGCAGGAAGGCTAAGTCCCAGGAGCTCTCGTTCCTGGCCTTTCAGAATCAGGGACAGTGCTTCTGCAGGGATACCCTGGTCCACAGCTTTTAAGGGAAAGAGGAAGGGAGATACAGAAATAAATGTTCCATTTATTTATACATCGGCTGCTTCTTGTATGTGCCCTGACTGGAAATCACACCCACAATCTTGGCATATCTGATTGATGCTCTAACCAACTGAGCTACCCGGCCAGGGCTGTGGTAGGAATTATTGACTATTCGTTTTCTGTGGTGCAGGAACTGGAGGCCCAGAGAGGTAAAGTGACTTGGCCAGGATCCCACAGCAATGACTGCCCACGCTGGGACTTGAACCCAAACCACTTTACATACCAAAATTCATTTCCCTGCCACTTGGGCTCCCAGCTGGGCCTCATGAGACTCCAGTCCCAGTCCCAACCTCGCCTGACTTAGTTCCACCCTGGCTGGAAGGCGAAGCCGACCTTATGAGCAACATGGTGCTGGTTCCACTGCCCACCAGCTTCCAGGTGGTGGGCTGGGGGATCCAATGGTGTAGGGGACCTTTTATTTTTATTTTTTTACTTTATTGATTTTAGAGAGAGAGAGGAATGGGGAGAGAGAGAGAAATGCCGATTTGTTGTTCTGCTTATTTATGCATACATTGGTTGTTTCTTGTATGTGTCCTGGCTGGAGATCAAATCTGCTACTTTCGCGTCCTGGGACCATGTTCTAACCAACTGAGCTACCCAGCCAGGGCTGTAGGGGGCTTCTCTCCAGTTTCCCAAGGGTCTTCAACTGACCCCCTTGGACAAGTGCAGCCCCAACAATGTGTGCACTGGTGTCCTTACCTGCCAGGGCAGCATCTGCTACATACAGGCTGGGTACAGCCTGGCCTGGGCTCCCCTGAGGTGGGAAGAGGGACCTTGAGAGATAATGAGTTCCCCATCGTGGGAGAGAGCAAGGCCAGCACGAGGGCCCCTGGACTGAGTATGGAATGAGACCTGGATGATAAGTACTTGAGCATTTTTAGCAGCATGAGAAGACATGGGGCTGGGACGAGGTTTGCGCGTTGTATGAGAAAGGAGGATTGCTTTGCTAGGTTGGCAGGGACTGGGGGCAGGAGGCCATGCTCATTTACTGGCAGAGTGGCCTCCACTCACTGAACTCATTCACAGCCCTGAGAGCCAGCGGTTGTCACTATCCCCACCTGACCGGGGGATCACTGAGGGTGAGAAAGGTTGGGTGACTCACCCAAGGTCACATAGCCAGGGCGGGATCTGAACCCAGATCTGTGAGATTCTAGGCCCCCTTAACCACCTGTCATTTTGGTCGAGAATATTTGCCTTGGGTGCAGCAAAGTCAAAAGGCACACGAGACACTGGCCAAAGAGTGTTTGCCACTTGACTCACAGAAGGCCAGTGTGCCTAATATAGAAAGAGCGAAACATAACTAACTATTAAATAATAAATAACAATTATATTAAAATTATATAGAAATAGAATTATATTATATAGTATAGTTTATTAAAATAACATTTTACACAATACATCATTTATTATATATCACTATATATTTACATATTTAAATGCATATATTTTAAACTATATAATAAAATATAATTGTGATTAATCTATGAAGAGCACCTAAAATCAATAAGAAAGAAACAACCCAGTAGTACAGAAATGGGTAAAGGATGTTAGCAGTTCACAGCAAAGAAACACAAAAGAATCTTGAAGATCTGGAAACACCTTCACCTTCACTCATTATACTGGGAATATGAGCAAACTTTCTCAAGGATAACATTTTTCCAACCTATGGGATGTGCAAAACTCTTGCTGTTTGAGAACTCTGCACGTGTCCCCCTCGGTGGGCAGGAAACTGGGACGCCACATGTCTAGAAGAAAAAGAGACTGAAAACAACCCAGTGTCCTCAAGGAAGAGACCACGAAGTGCCCAAAGTCTGGTTCATCCAGCTGGGGAATATTATGCAGCTTTGTAAAAGGTGGGGGCACCCTGTTCATTGGCCCAAGTGGTCTTTACAAGACAGTGGAAACATAGACAACCCAGGGACAGAACAACGTGTGCATATGTGTGAGTGACACATTCTCATTTGCTGGTCAGAATACCGAAGAGTCCAAGAGAATCAGTTTCCTTGGGTGTGAAGGGGCCAGGAATGAAAGAGACTTTCCAGTCTTCTCAAGGGCAACTTTTTACACGTCTTTCAGATGGTTGGACCATGTGAGGGTAGAAATTAAATTTCAAAATTAATAAGTTAAAGAAGAGCGGTACACCCGTTTGTGCTGGAGGGGGCCCGTGATTCAGGCACTGCACTGTATTTTGTGTGAGCGTTAGTGCTGCTGATCCAAGTTGCTAGAGGCAGCCCCTCAGTCGTAGAAAGGGCCACAGATCACCCAGGGCTCCAGGCTTGTAGACAGGCATATGCGCCAGCCCGCAAAGGCCTCGGGCCCTTGGACAGTACAAAGGGGGCTGCAGCTCTGCCCCAAACTGCGTGGTGTGAGGGTCTGTGGGACCCCACAGGCTCTGCCCCAAGTGTGGATGACCTCAAAGCTGTCCACTGCTCCTGGGAGCCCCCAGTGCTCACCTAGACTGACCAGCCACCACGGTTGTTGACATTCCCATTAAAGTACTTTACACATGGGGAGACTGAGGCCCAGAGAGGAATGTTAGTGGCCCGGGAAGCTAAATCAGTCCAGGGGTCCTGACCAGAGCTTAAAGAGATCAAATCACTGCCCGCTCATGGTTCAGATGGGGAAACTGACCAGTGGGTGTTGGGGTCCAAGAGCATATGGTGTCCCAGCTCAGAGCCCTGCCCCCTTACTCAAAGGAGTATTTTTCTTTTTTAAGGAGAGGAGAGGAAAAAGAGAGACAGGCAGAGACAGAGACTCTACAAGCTGGACCTCCTGCTCCCCCCCTCTCCCTGCATTCTAGGGACCCGGTGACTCAATAAGCCTGGGCTTCCGCCCCTGTGTCCGTTGCCTGTTAAGCCACCCACAGCTGGAGTGGGAAGGAGCCAAGGCAACAGCTTCCAGCCCCCACTTCCCTTCTTCCTGCCAGTTGAACCCCCAGAGGCTCCAGGGTGTTCGCTCCTATTATAGCCCCCCAGGCTCCCCATAGCTCCCAGCTTTTGCCCCCACTGGGAGCTTTCCCATCCCTGCTTCTCTCCGCCTCCAGGCAACCCCCGCCCCTGCGTTCACCTGCCTGCTCCCCAAGCCTGGGTGTGATGCACACCTGGAGCGGAGTGTTTGGAGAGGAGGACCCCGAGGCCCTCTAAGGAGGCTCCCCCTTAATAATCTAGCAAGGGGTGGGGGGCGGTGTGTGTGTGTGTGTGTGTGTGTGTGTGTGTGTTTGTGTGTGTGTGTTTCTGTTTCTTTTTTGGTTAAAGCTTTATTGAAATATACTTTATAAAGTATACAACTCTCCCATTTAATAATTCAGTGGCCTTTGGTGCATTCATAATGTTGTGCAACCATCACCCTTATATAGTTCCAGAACATTTCATCACCCAAAAAAGAAACCCCCATGCCCATCAGCCGTCACCTCCCCAACCTCCACCCCCAGCCCCCAGCCCCTGACAACCATTAACCCCTTTCCTGTCTCTAGAGTGGCTTGTTCTGGACATTTCACATAAATGAATCACACAGTATTGGTCCTTTTGTGTCTGGCTTCTCTCACTGAGAGCATTGTGTTTTCAGGGTTTATCCATGTTGTAGCGAGTGTTAGCACCTCATTCCTTTAACCGCCTGGGTCAGTGGATTCCAGGGGCCCCAGGAGACTCCATGTTCACTAGCCATCTGACTACTGAGGTCCTGGGAGGCTGCACACATTTAAACACACAGCCTGAGGGGGCCAGAGTGGGGAGGGGACTCACAGGCGCTGGGTCCACCTGGTTTATACCATCCGACCATTGGGATTAATTCTAGTTTCTACTGTGAGCAGCAAATGAAGTCAGATTTTCCCCAATTAATTAACTAGGGTTTCTCTGCTGTTTCTACTAGGGGTGGAGGGAGAAGATCATCCCTAGTGGGAGCCATCCTGGGTATTGTGGGGCATTGACGATGTCCCTTGCCCCACACACTCAAAACCAGGAGCATCTCCACTCCTGACAACCACAGATGTCCCCAGACATTGTCCCCTGCGGGAACAATGACCTGGGTAAGAACAATGAATTGTTATGGGTCTCAGGAGGGCACATGGCTCTGTGGCCCCCACTACTTTTTCCTGTCCTTTCCTGCCCCTATGACTGAGGCTCACCCCAGCACTGGCCACAGTCCACTTTGCTCAGGTCATAGGGACCCCACGGGGAGAATCATAAAGAGCAGTGTGTGCCCTTCTGAGGGCTGTGTCATGCTACACCTTGTCCAAGGGACCCGGGTGTAGGGTGGGCCGGAGGCAGCTTCTCACACTTGCGGGAGAGGTGGGACCCTGAGCCTAATGTTCCCTGTCTTCCTGGAATGCGGTTCAACACCCTCAACTCTCTGCGGCCCCCAAGTTGAAAGGAGGAAGTGAGGACGCCCATTCCTGGCGTGGGGAAACTCCAACGGCCTCTGGGCATTGGGCTATAAGAGGTGGTGGGCAGGCGAGGGGACCCGGAGCTCCCACTCAGCCATGACCCTCGGCCACCAGCACTCTGGCCCTGTCCTGGCCCTCATCCTGCTGGCCACGCTGCTGGGCAGTGAGTGAGGCCACACGTTCCTCCACCCACCTATCCAGGCCCTGCTCATTCTGGGGAATATCTACCAACAATGGCCAGCCCAACGCCCTCACTGCTCAGAGAGGGAGACTGAAGCACAGGGCGGGACCCACCCTGTGCTCACGCTGAAGGGGAGCGAGGGGGAGCTCTGGGACATTCAACTCAGTTTCTCCATCTGTAAAATGGGCAAAGCCCATGGCTTCTCTCCCAGGGAGGTGGGTGGGGGTGGGTGCAGCAGAGGCAGGTGACTGCCACTGATGACCGATGCCTCTCATTCTCAGGTGCAGCATGGGCTTCAGAGATTGTTGGTGGGCGGGAAGCCAAGCCTCACTCCCGGCCCTACGTGGTGTCACTGCAGTTAAGGGACCAACACTTCTGCGGGGGCACCTTGATCCACCCGAGGTTCGTGCTGACTGCTGCTCACTGCCTGGAGAACATGTGAGTATCCAGGTGGGCCTGCCCTGGGCCTGAAGGGGGAGGAGGGCCTGCCCTGGGTCCGAGGGGGCTGCCACCAAGGGAGCTGAACTCTGGGCCACGGGATGCCCATAAGGGACCAAGCAATGAGCACCCTGCGCTGACCCCTCAGGCCCCTGGCCCTGGTGAATGCAGTGCTCGGGGCCCACAACCTGCGGGCCTCCGAGTCCAGCCAACAGAGGTTGAACATCACTCGTCAGTTTTCCAACAATTATGACCCAGATCAGAAGCTCAATGACATCCTTCTCCTGCAGGTGGGTAAGCAGGGCCCACAGGGCCTGTAGGACCCCTTCATTCATTTTCAGCAAACATGTACTGAGCACCTACTGCATGCCAGGTCCCTGCACATGCTGGGACATAGCCTGATGAGGAGAGAGCTGGTCAGACAGTAGTAACACAAATGGCTGCCCCACTCACCTCCATGCCTGTGTGCCTGTGCCCTGGCTGTGCCCCCCACCGGGTGCCCATCCACCCAACACCTTCACCCCCAACTTCAGCACCACCCTTGCCTCAGCAAGAGCCCCCCTCACCCTAGTGGAAAGGCAGCCACCCCTCCCAGTTTACGGTTCACCATCTTAGCATTTTCCTTGGCTACACGTCTGTTTTCCTCCTCCTGGCTTCTCCAGCCTCCAGAATGATCAGCTCCCTGAGGGCGGAGGTAGTATCCCCAGGGCTTTAGCAGAGGACCAAGCATACAGTTGGCACTCAAAAAGTGCTTTGTAAGCAAATAAATGCCACAGTGACAAATGCTACAAAGGGGAGGTCCGTGGTCAGAGAACGTAAAACTTGAGCTCTGGTGGGGTTTGGAGGGTCAATCAGAGCAGGTTCCCTGGAGGAGGCGACCCCTGTGGTGGAACCGGACAGTGAGAGGGAGGGGGTCGGGCAGAAGGAAACAGCATGTGCGAAGGCCCAGAGGAGGCCCTTTAGGGTGGTCAGGACATGAGTAAAAGTGAGAAGGGGGTGGCTGTGGGGTCTGGAGACAGGTGCTCACTGCCTACATGCCCTCGCTTTGCCCCAGCTGGACCGCCCCGCCAGGCTCAACGCTCAAGTTGCAGTTGCCCCGCTCCCGCAGCAGGACCAGCAGCTGCCCCACGGCACCCAGTGCTTGGCCATGGGCTGGGGCCGCCTGGGCACCCGTGCACCAATGCCTCACACTCTGCGGGAGCTGAACGTCACCGTGGTCACCTTCCTGTGTCGGCCACACAATGTGTGCACCTTTGTGCCCCGTCAAAAAGCTGGCATCTGCTTTGTATGTACACCCCTGGATCCCAGGGTCCTGAACCAAGTTTGCATGACAGGAAGGATCACCTGAGAGGCTGGGGCTGCTCTGGAGCAGAGAGGGCTTCACGAACTGTCCATGGTAGGGGGGGCGGCTGCAATTCAAATCCACCTCCTTCTCACTGAGCGGCTGCAGGCTGTGCCTCGGTCTCCCCATCTGGAAGAGAAGCACGCCCATCATGAGGGTTCAGCAGATGATGCCTGGAACAACCTCAACTCCCACAGGCACAGAGGGGGCGCTCATGTCATACTTGGTGGTCTTCATGGGTCTAGAAATTTCCCTACCCCGGGGCTCCCTCTTGGACCCTGGGGAAGTGGGTGACCAGCCCAGCCTCGTTCCAGGGGTCCAGGTATAGGGCAGGAGGCCAATAAGTGCCCCCTTTCCTTCTGAGTGGCCTCATCTCCCTCTGTTGCCCACATGTCCATGTGTCAGACTGTAGACGTTTTACCACGAAAAAAGCATTAGGCTGCTACTAGCTACACTTTTCCTGACATAGCCACATCCTGGGTGACCGACCAACCTGTCCCCACTCTTCCCAGGGAGACTCTGGTGGCCCGTTGATCTGCAATGGTATCCTCCAGGCCGTGGACTCCTTCCTGATCCGGGAGTGTGCCACCCAGCAGTACCCTGACTTCTTCGCTCGTGTGGCCCTCTACGTGGACTGGATTCAGTCTGTGCTGAGAAGCGCAGGGGAGGAGGGCAGCCCCTGAGCTGCTCTGTGGGGGGCGGGGGGCTGTGCCGGGCCTCACAGTGACATCAATAAAAATTGAAACCCTCCTTTGGCTCCTGTCTGTCCTTTCCATATGGGGGGAAATGGGGGAGACTAGCCACGGGTCCCCGGCATCCAAGTCCCCAGACCCCAGACTCTGGATGGGGATTTGGAGCAGAAGCCTGGAAGCTGCTAGAAGGCCCAGGTCGCAATAGGTTCCGTTCCCCCGATACTTGTAGTTGTGGGTTCTAATCCAGCCCTGCCAGTGTGGCCTTGGGCAAGTTGATGCCCATCTCTGGGTCTCAGTTTCCTCACCTGGGAAAGGGAGCCACTGCAGATACTTCCCAGAACTGATCAAGGAGCCCCCGCCCTGGCCCTCAGGGATGAGGGTATTGTGTCCGGCTCTGTGTCTCCAGTTCAGGGCCTTCTGGAGGACCAGGCTGTCATAACACAGAGTGCCCAGGGCCTGTGGGGCTCTTGGCCCAGTCAGGGACAGGCAGAATGGCTATTAGGGAAGTTTCCTGGAGGAGGCGCAATGCCCGACCAGGAACATGAGGAGAAGAGCCCCAAGAAGAAGCACGTCAAGTGCAGAGGAACAGGAAAGCGTGCGGTGTGGCTGGATTGGAGGCAGCTGGGGATAGAGCAGGAAACTTCAGGGATGTCGTAGGGCTGGAGCGTGCAGGCCCACAGACATGAACTGGGGCGTGCTTTGTGGAAAGGCCTGAGGCCGGGAGGAGGGAGAGGTCATTGGCCAGCGGGTGAGTAGCCATGGGAATGAGGCTCAGAGAGAGGGCCCAACTGCTCACGGGACATGCCAGAGCTGGAAGGCAGCACTTTCCTAATTGATTTGTTCTGCCAGCACCTACTGCCAGTGTACAAATTCAACCAAGAGAACTCTCAGGCCTGCCCCCATTTGCATCTCTTTGATACCTCACCCCAGGGGAAGTGTTACCAGGAACAAACGAGTACCGAGTCCTGGGACAGGGGACATGGCTGAATCCTGGGAAATGTGCGCTGACAAGTGTCAGGGGCATGCTGGGGGTTCCCTGCATTTCTCAAGGGTTCGAGGTGAGCGCGCGGTTTCTATAAAAACCCTTCAGCATCAGGGGTGAAAAAAGGTTTGCTAGAGGGAATGCAGGGAACAGAAAGACACAACGAACACAGGCAGGGATGTTGTCTGTTTTCTGTGGGCTTGTGTGTGAAAGATGAGTCAGAAGTTCTGCACAGCAGAGGTCAGACCCAAGAGTGGGGGCTGAGGACGGGGACTGGGGGACACTGGGTAGGTTCAGGAAATGACAAACTCATGGGAATAACAAGCAGGATGATCAGCAATTTGGGAGCCTCAGGGGGCGAGGGGTTCCCGGGGAAGCCCCAGGGAGGGGCACCCAGCTGCTGGGGACCACTCTCTGCAGCCCAGGGGTCCCCTGGCCTCCAGCAGTGGGACAAGATACTCAACTCATTGTTTTCTCCCTGGGGTGTAACTCAGGTCTATAAAGTGCAAACGTCTTACTTGGAAGACTCATAACTTGATATCGCCAGGGTGACCCGCACTCTGATTGCAAATTATAAGCCTGGCGTTTGCCTCCCAGCCTATACCCGCCAGGCAGTCACCACCCTGCCCTCCTGGAGGTGCTTCATGGTTAACAAGCCCTCCGGGACATCATTTTCTAATCTAAAAACTTTACAAATTCATTCTGTCCTTGGGACAATCCTATGCAATGGAGACTATTATAACCTCCCTTTTACAGACAAGGAAACTGAGGCATAGATGGGTTAAGTCAGTGGTCTGAAGTTATGTAGAGGGCAAGTGGCCAAGCCAGGATATGAACCCTGGGTATGATATGTTTAGCCACCATGAGATGTGTAAACATAGTATACAGGTGGTGCTCAGTAAATGCTGCTTTGGTTAAATGGAGTCTTCCTGCCTGAGCCACACTCCCCGCAAGACATGGCTTCCTCCTCTCTCTCCCATCCCCAGACTGGAAATAGGGCTGTCTATGCAGTAGGTGCTTACTAAGTGCTCTATGGTAAATTTAATGCAATGGGGTGGGGACCCTGCCAAGTAGGGAGCAGGTGCGCATCTGATGGCGGGAGAGATGAAGGGCGGACACTGAGCGCCTGCCATGTGCCAGGTTCTGGAAGAGCAGAGCCATCATCCTAAATGATGAAGCGTGGGGGTTTGCTCGCCTGTGGCCACATGTGGAGGGGAGCCCAGGGACAAACAGGACTCCAGCCCCAGCTCTGGGTGCCCTCAGGACCCCCACCACTCGTTCCCGCAGATGGATCCGTTGGTTCCTTCCCCAGAACCCTGCTCCAGGTCAGGAAAACGTTGCTTCTTGCGACAGTCTTGGCTACAGTCGTTGCAGCTGGAGCATTTTGGGGGAAGGGGGAAGAGGAACAGGGCCATAGAGTATGGGCTGGGCCCTGGGGGGCCACCCTCCGTTGTATTGGTCTGAGTTCTTCCACAGCTCCAGGCAGAAACTTCAGTGGACATCCATGGTCCGGCCCCCAAGTCTGGGCAGGATTCCTTTCCCAGGCCAGAGAGGGGCTCTGCAAAGCTCAAGGCGGTGGGGGAGTGGGAGGAGTTCTTCCCCAGAACCTTTGCTGGTGACCAGAGACTCATGAGGTCCTAGGTAGGAATGAGTTCCCCATTGTGAGCAACAACAAAAGGGACATTGGGAGGCCAGACCTGGAGCGGGAGACCCAAGACTCAGGGAGATGAGCAACAAATCACCATCCAGCTGTGAATTGTGGGACCTGAGTTCAAATCCCTGCTTTCTCACCATGTCACCAGGTAGGAACTCATGAGGGAGGCCTCATTGTGCCTCACTTTTCCTCATCTCAAATGGAAGCCCAGCCTTGTCCTGGTGTCTCAGTTGGTTTGGCATCATCGCATACGCCAAAAGGTTGAGGGTTCAATCCCCAGTTGGGGCAAGTACAAGAGGCAACTGATCGAAATTTCTCTCACATCAATTTCTCTCTCTCTCTCCTCCTCCTCTCTCTCCAAAATATCAATAAGTATGTCCTGGGGTGAGCATTTAAAAAAAAATCAAATGAGGACCCAGCAGCCTCTCACCGCTCCCGTAAACTGTCAGAACAGCTCTGGTACACTGTCATTACTATAGTACCCTGGGTAAACTAAGGCATGTGGGGGACCCCGCTGGCGTTCTTCGGGCCTAGGGCTGCCAGATTTAGCAGGACCCCCAGTTAAATTTGAATGTTAGATAAACAATGACTAACTTTGTGGATAAGTACAATATTTGGGATACAGTTATACTAAAAAAATGCTCAAACAAAAAATCATAGACACAGACATCAGTATGGTGGTTACCAGAGGGAAGGGGAGTGGAGGTTAAAGAATAAAGGGGGTCAAATATATGGTGACAGGGGAAGGTCTGACTTTGGGCGGTGGGCACGCAATGCAATATACAGAGACTGTAGCATAGAATTGTACACTTGAAACATATAATTTTATTAACCAATGTCACCGCAATACATTTAACTAAAAAGAAAAAATATTGTTTCTCTGACTTTCAAATTTGTGCCCTGAATTTTATCTGGAGCCAACCCAGGCCTCTAGCACACACCAGCACCCTCGGCCCGCCCACTGCACGCTGTTCTTCCCACCGCCACCCTCATCCATTCCTAGGGGTGGAGGAAGGAAGTGGGGACACCTGGCCTCTCCGTGGGGCAATACAACCGTCCCCAGGCTTCAGGCTATAAGAAGGCCAGGTGAGCACAGGGCACAGAGACACCCGAGCCCCCACCTAACCATGACCCAAAGCTGCAGACCCTCCGGCCCTGCCCTTGCCTCCATCCTGCTGACCCTGCTACTGGGTGGTGAGTGGCCCCGCATGTCTCTCTATTAATCTGTCCCTGAGAATCCGTTCCTGCCTCTTGAATGTGCTCTTGAGCCAAGTGGCCCCCTTGTCCTCATGGAGGGGCAGCAGGGATAGGCAGACCCACTTTCAGAGGAGGAGACTGAGGTTCAGAGTGGTGACGAGCCCAGGACCCAGTTTGAACCCTGGAGGTGGGGTCATTGGGCATGCTCTGGGACCTCCGAAGCCAAATTAAGTCCAGATATAGCTGTGCTCTGGCGGGGGGCCTGGGCAGCCCCCCTTTCCTTTCTGCACCTCAGCTGGCAAAAAGCATGTAAGGGCCCTGACCCATGGTGGGGGTTTCAGGGCCAACTGGCCCGATGGGGTGGGGCTCCTCCGCGGCACTCACCAACCTCACCCCTGAATGTCCCCAGGCCCTGTGCTGGCCTCTGAGATCGTGGGTGGCCGGCGGGCCAGGCCGCACGCATGGCCCTTCATGGTGTCCCTACAGCGGCATGGAAACCACTTCTGTGGAGGCACCCTAGTGGCCCGGAACTTTGTCATGTCAGCAGCTCACTGTGTGAATGACATGTGAGTGACTCCTGAGCACACCTTCCCTCTTCAGGTCTTCCGTTTCCATGCCTATCAAAATCGTGTGGGGGGTTGGGGGTGGGGAGTGGGACCATGGCCTGGGCTTCTCCAGGGAGCCCCCATTAATGCCTCTTCTCCACCCAGCCCCAGTTGGGGGCATTCAGCCAAGGGGCCCAAGGCTCTGTCCCGGGTGGCGCGGCATCTCATGGGCATGGGGCTAGGCTCAGCTGAGCTCTGGGGTCTCTCCGCCGCCCTCAAGCCCCAGAGGCACCGCGAATCACCTGGACCCACTTTGTCACAGGGACTACCGGACGGTGCAGGCGGTGCTAGGGGCACACAACCTGAGGAGGCCTGAACGCTCCCGGCAGGTGTTCAGCATCCAGCAAGTCTTTCAAAATGGCTTCAACCGTGACACGTTGCAGAACGACATCGTGATTCTGAAGGTATGGGGCTCGCTGGGCAGAGAAGGGACGCCCTGGGGTGGGGCGGGATGCCCGAGCGGGCGCAAAGGCCTAGGGGCCTGAGGCTTGGGGAGGCTACAGACTGGGGGTCACATCTGGCTCTAAGCGGGTAGGTCATCTCTGTGCCTCAGTCTCCCCCTATGTAAACTGGGGAAGGAAGCCCCACCTGGCAGGGCTGTTGAACATGTGAACAAGAGGATGCAGAGAGATCTGAACAGTTGTCCATCAACAGATTGTTGTGATTATTTGTACCCTGTGGCCAAGGGCAGGGACAGTCCCCGCCTTTATGAAAGGGGGCAAATTTCCCCACATTCAGATGAGTGGGGGACTAGAGGGAGAAACCTTCCCTTCCCTGCTGCTTGCGGAGTTATGATTATTCTTTGCAATGTCCTAGAACAAGGGTTTTGTTGTCATTGGTGTTGCCCATAGCTTGGTGTATTGAGTTCCTGCTGTTTACTACACTCAAGGCATGTCCAGGGTCACCCTACTTCACAGATGGGGAAACTGAGGCTCAGAATGGGGAAAGTCTTGCAGGGTGGGCATAGTACTCCATAAAATCCCAGAACCACCCGGGAGCCTCAGACGGGGAAACAGACCTGGAGAGGGGAAAGCCTTGTGTGACTCTTCGGCGCCCTGTTCTGTCTACTGCAGCTCAATGGGTCAGCCACCATCAACGCCAACGTGCAGGTGGCCAGGCTGCCTAAGCAGAACGAAGGTGTGGGCAGAGGGACACAGTGCATGGCCATAGGGTGGGGCAGGCTGGGCACGAACCGGCCACAACCCAGCATCCTGCAGCAGCTCAGAGTGACCGTGGTGTCATTTCTCTGCCGCCCCACCAACGTGTGTACACTGGTGCAGCGCCGGCGGGCCGGCATCTGCTTTGTAAGTATCTGTGACCCCGCTCTCAGCCCCTTCCCCACTCCCACCTGGGCTGCAGCAACTAGGACTGCAAGCCAGACTCCAGGGAGGACTTCACAACCCTGAAAGGAGGCGGATGGAGGGCCCTGGAATGATAGCCTCCTAACCTCACCTGGCTCTGCACACAGGGGGACTCCGGTGGGCCCCTGGTCTGCAAAGGACTGGTCCATGGGATCGACTCCTTCATCCGGGGAGGCTGTGGCTCTGGCTACTACCCAGATGCCTTTGCTCCCGTGGCACAATTCGCAAACTGGATCAACTCCATCATCCTCCGCCAAGATGACCACCCTCAACTCCACCCCAGGGACCCTGCAAGTAGGACGCGCTAGAAAGGGCTGCCCCATCACCTCCATGTTACCTGCCCCTGACCAGGCCCATCCCATGGTGCATTATGCAGCATCTGGCACAATAAAACCCTCTCTGTTTTACAGAAAGTATCTGGGTTTGTTGGCTGTGCAATTGGAGACAGAATGTAGTCAGGAGAGTGTCTTGGACGGCTCACCAGTATGCTGCCACCAGGTGGCAGCAAAATCAGGGCATTGGAGTAAAAGGTTCCTCCCCACCTGCCATAAAAGGATGCCAGTTGCCATTTCTGGTTTCCCTCCTGTAAACCCCATTTTCACGTGATGACACAGAGCAGTATAGCAGGTGTTTGCCGAGTGCTGACCAGGTGCAAGAATCATTCTCAGTCTTTGCTAGCGTTGGCTCATCTGGAACTCTCTCCAGCCCTTGAGGCAGGTCCCATCAGTGCCAAGTTTTACAGATGAGAAAGTGGAGGTGCGAAGAGGTGAAGCTGTTCTCGGGAGCCTGGGTCTGAGTCCCAGCTCTGACTTTTGACTACGTGGTCTCTGTCTCTGAACCTCTGTTTCCCTGTGGGGAGGAGTGAGTTGTCGCCTAGGAAGGGTACAACCAGGGGATGGGGTCTCGCTCGGCGACAGAGACAAGCCCTCGCCCACCTCTCCAGCCTTTTGCTCTGACAAGGGGGAAGAAGCAAAACAGATGATTCCTAAGGCATCTCCCAGCCCTGTTGGAAGTTGCTGTCCTAGGGGGACGTGACCGGCTTGTATCCCTCTTCTGCCTTCCTGGACCCCGGAAGGAACTCTCTGGGGCCATGGGTGGGGACCGCAACAGACATGGCCTCTGCCATCATGCAGCTTACAGTCTGACGGTGGGGGAGGACATAATCACCCAAGCTAGCAAATAAATGACAGTCGTAACAACAGATAATGACACCCCTGCCTCCCCGCAACACACGCCATGAGTTCGGAATAAATCTCCTTTCCCTCTGTCCCCTGGTCCCAAATCTCCTCCTCTGGAATCCAGTCACCTGGGTCCCCTCAGGGCCTTTGCCTTGGCTGTTTCCTCTGCCTGCCCTCTCTTCCTGCAGGCTGTCACCTCATCTGGCCTTCCCCCAAGTGCCACCTGCTCAGAAATGTGACCAGCTTTTTCCACTTCATACTATACCGAGGTGGTCTTCCCATGTTCTCACAGCGTCTGGGGATGGTCAGGGTTATTTATTGAACCACCCCATCTTCCTAAATTGTATCCAGATTATGTTGCAATTTTGAACACTCTTACATAATCTGGACTCCATATCCCCGTGGGCTTTCATTCAGAACTTCTGATTTTAATAAGGAAAGATGTTAGGATCTAAGAGATCACATTTATTTTCTATTTTGCATGTATGAAATAATCTGCTGTGAGGAGAAAAACAAGGAGGAGAAAGTATTGTGCACTGTTCCCATTGGGGATGTCCAAGGTCTACCCTACCCTTCTGGTCCCAGCACCTGCTCCCATAGGTTCATGAGATGTTGACCCGCCATTTCCACCTTACAGGGGGCCATGGGACCCAAGTTCTGCTCTATAGAACCTGCCATCCCCTGGCAGGTTGGTTTGAGAGGGAGCAGGTGATCCAAGCTCAGCCAAACAAAGGCAGCCTGGAGGCATTTACTGGAGAGATAGGGAATTGGGAGAGGAGCTCACTGAGCCACTGAGCTGAGTCTGAGGCTCCTGGGCCACAACAGGAGAGACTGGTGAGGAGAGAAGCCATCAAGGAGGAAGGGGGAAACCAGAGACAGAGACCTGACATTTTTCAAGGTGCCTGGATCAAGCCCCTCCTGAAGGCAGACCCTAAACTTTCCATTTAAATTTCCTTATTGAAGATTACAGTCTTTCCAGCTGCCCCTATATACCACGTTTTCAACTTCTCCTTGTTGGGGTGTCAGGCTCCAGAGCTACAGCAATGGGGACAAAGGTATGGAGTAACCTTCCCCTCATCCCCACCCAATTTCCTCTCCAAGCTGGAGGAGAAAGACAATGAAGGGAGGGCAGAAAATGAGGAAGCGGGCTGTTTACAAACTAGCCTCCAACTGCTGTTGCGAAACTTGAGTGCTGGAAGGACACTTGTCAGGCTGGGCTGGGGGGCTGGGGTGGGTCCATCCCTCTGCTCTGCTCCTACGTCCTGAGGGGCTGCTCCCCACACTGGGGTCAGCCCTGGGCCAGGTACAGAGAGGCAAGGGGCACACCTCCTGGTGCAAAGTCCAGCAGGAGATAATCCACCCTGAGGAGGGTGGAAGTGGGGGAGAGGGGCTCCCCTTCACCCATCTGGGCGACTGCCCGTTGGGCAGATAGGGACTGTTGGAGCGGCCCCAACTTCCACCCTCATAAGAACACTCCAGGCCCTGCCTAGGACGGTGTTGAGGCCACAGCAGCATCATGGCAGACCTCTCAGTGCGCCCGGCAGCTCTGATCCTTCTGGGAGCAGCCCTATGCGGTGAGAAAGGACGTGGAACTGGGCTGACAGCAGGGGCCACCAGCCTGCAGGGCAGTCAGCCAGGGGTCCCCCCTCCATCAAACAGGACTGTCTCCCGGTCCTACTCTGTGGGTAGAAATGGGGCAGTGTCCAGATGAATGGAAGGATCTGAAAGTCCAGGAATTCTCAAAACCTGGATCTGAAATGTGAGCTTTTCCCACAGTGAGAACATGCAGTTCTGCAGTGGAAACTGGCAGCCTCTGCATGCTCGGCGGCGGGCAGGAGTGTTGGTTTGGTCTGCCCCACTTTTCTTATGTTTAAATCAAAGCTGTGAGGCTCAGTGTATATTGTTTCCCACGCGTCTGAGTTTGTGACCCTGGGGTGTGGCGCTTCAATGATGGAATTGCAGGTCTTGAGCGGGGCTGGAGTGGCGGGGGTAGGGGGTGGAGGGGGCCTCTGAGGGCTGGGCTGCAGCGTCCGCGGAGTCCTCACACCCACCTGCCTGCCCCCAGTGGCGCAGCCCCGCGGCCGGATCCTCGGCGGCAAAGAGGCCAAGGCCCACGACCGACCCTACATGGCCTCGGTGCAGGTGAACGGCACACACGTGTGCGGCGGCTTCCTGGTGGCTGAGCAGTGGGTGCTGAGTGCGGCGCACTGCCTGGAGCATGTGTGAGTGGTGGTGGTGGTGGGAAACAGCGCAGGGGACTGGGGTGGGGTGGGGTGGGGACGTGGATCTGATGCGGACCCTGCCCCACACCCAGGCCCACCAATGAGACCTTGGTGCAGGTCCTCCTGGGCGCACACTCGCTATCACAGCCTGAGCCGTCCAAGCGCCTGTATGATGTGCTTCGAGCAGTGCCCCACCCAGACAGCCGGCTTCAAACCTTGGACCACGACCTCCTTCTGCTTCAGGTCAGCCAAGTCTGGCCTCAGTCGCTCCTGCTGCAGGCCCCCCTCCATCCCACGCGTCCCAACACTGATGCCCGCCTCCCCCACAGTGGGGTCCCACCGAATCTAGCCATAGCTCCTCCTGCTGCATGCGCCCCTGCGACCCTGACCCGCCTCCCTCCGCCCCTAGCTCTCTGAGAATGCCACTCTGGGCCCCGCCGTGAAGCCCCTGCCCTGGCAGCAGGAGGACCGCGAGGTGACGGCTGGCACGCTCTGCGACTTGGCCGGCTGGGGCATGATCAAGAACACCGGCCGGAAGCCCGACCTCCTGCAGTACTTGCTCCTGCCGGTGATTGACCGTGCCACCTGCAACCTGCGCAAGTTCCACGACGGCACTGTCACTGAGCGCATGATGTGCGCAGAGAGCAAACGAAACGCGGACAGCTGCAAGGTGTGGGGTGGAGCAGGGGAGGGGCCGGGGTGGAGCAGGGCCAACAGACGGCTCTGTGGGGGGAGGGGGGCGGGCGGGGCGGGACTGGGGGGAGGGCAAAGCCAACAGGCAGGTCCTCCAACAGGTGGGCCCCACAGAAGGAGTGGGACTGTGGGGCAGGCAGGGCCAACAGAAGGGACGAGGCTGAGGGCTGGGGAAGCAGGGCCTTGGTGCGTGGGTCTTACAGTGGTGGGCAGGGCCTGGGGCAATTGACAGCAGAGGGAGCCGGTTTGAGCTGGAGGGAGGAGCAGGAATTGCAGTGGTCAAGCCCCAGCAGGGCGCCAAGGGAGGGGTTGGGGGGGGAAGAAGGATGGGGGTCCACCCTCTCACAGTCCTGTCCACATAGGGCGACTCTGGGGGTCCACTGGTGTGCAATGGCGTGGCCGAAGGCGTGGTCACCTCTGGATCCCGTGTGTGTGGCGACCCCAAGAAGCCCGGCATCTACACTCGTATAGGGAGCTACACCGCCTGGATCAACAGCGTGATGGCTGGGGATGTGGCCACCTCAGGAAAACCTGAAGGGCCGGTTCACAAGGAACAATGAAGTCATTGACTCCTGCGTCTGGTCAGACACTATTTTTATTTTATTCCCTTTCCAATTTGTTTATTCGTTTGTTTTTGTTTTTAGATTCCACATATAAGTGAAACCATATGGTATTTGTCTTTCTCTGACTTACTTCACTTAAAATAATACCCTCTAGGTCCATCCATGTTGTTGCAATAAATTTCATTCTTTCTCATGGCCGAGTAGTATTCCATTGTATGTATGTACCACATTTCCTTTATCCATTTGTCTGCTGATGGACACTTAGGTTGTTTTCATATCTTGGCTATTGTAAATAACACTGCAGTGAACATAGAAATGCAAATGTCCTCAGATAAATACCCAGAAGTGGAATTGCTGGATCATATGGAAGCTCTATTTTCAATTATTTGAGGAAACTCCATACCGTTTTCTATAGCAGCTACACAAATTTACAATCCTACCAAAAATGCACAAGGGTTCCCTTTTCTCCACATTCTTGCCAACACTTATTGTTTGTTGATTTATTGATGTCATTCTGACAGGTGTGAGGTGGTATCTTATTGTGGTTTTGATGTGCATTTCTCTGGTGATTAGTGACGTTGAGCATCTTTATGTGTCCACTGGCCATCTCTATGTCCTCTCTGGAGAAACGATTATTCAGGTCCTCTGCCAAATTTTTAATTGGATTATTTTTTGATGTTGAGTTATGAGTTCTTTACATATTTTAAATATTAACTCCTTATCAGGTAAGTCATTTGCAAATATCTTCTTCCATTTAGTAGGTTGTCTTTTCATTTTGTTCATGGTTTGTCCTTTGCTGTTCAAAAACTTTTTAGTTTGATGTAGTCCCGTGTTTTTTTCTTTTGTTTCCCTTGCCCGGGAAACATATCCAAAAAGATATTGATAAAAGTGATGGAAAAGTTTACTGCTTATGTCCTGTAGGAGTTTTATGGTTTGGGGTTTTATATATTTTTTTCTTCTGTTATGATTTCCACTAGTCTGTCTTCCACTGATCCATTATTTTGTGCTAGCTAACTTGCTGTTAATTCCTTCTAATGTGTGTGTGTGTGTTATTATTAAGGTCTGCTTCGTTCTTTATTATAGTTTCTAACTCTCTGTTGAAGTTCTCCCTAAGTTCTTTTCAAGTTTGGCGAGCATCCTTATGACCACTTCTTCGAATTCTTTATCAGGCAAATTACTTTTTTCTGGAGATTTTCCTCGTTCCTTCAGTTGAGATATTTTGGTATTTCATTTTGTTTGATTTCTATGTTTGTTTCCATGAATTAGACAGTCTTGAGAAAATGACTTGATGTAGAAGCAGCCTTTGTATAGTCTGCATGTGCCGGCTAGTTTTGGGAAGCCAGTGGGAGCCAATGGCATTTGGGGCACTAGCTCACTGGACTGGAGTGGCCACAGGTGGGGAGCCCAGGTGCTTGTGGTGCCGCCCCATCGGTCCGCTTGCTTGGTTTGGAGATTACCTTGAAGGCAGGCCAAAGCCCTTGGATAGAGCTCCTACTGCCCTATAGAGGTGGGGTAGACACAAACAGTGGTGCTTGTGGCCCCTCTGATCCCCCTCCCTAGGGAGTGCCTGCTGTTCACCTGCCAACCGTCTATGTACATTCTCTCCTTTGTTATTTAGAAAGTAGTCTGGCATACTGTGTAGGCATTATATGTAGGGTAGTTCAGGAAGTGGGTTGGAGCTGGGCAGGTATTACAACACCTGGGGCTCTGGCCTGAGGACCTGAGTGACTCCCTGGCAGGGAGGCTAGGTGCACGAGGTGATGTGCTGTAGTCTCTTTGTTTGGAGGCAAAAGCCTCCAGGCAGTGTAGCTGGAAATGCTCTGTGCAGACCTTGCAGGCCAAATCCCCTGAATAGAGTTCCTGCCACCCTATGGATCTCCAGCCTTTTTTGTTCTGTTTCTTCCTCATTTGCCATTGAGAAGCTGTTCATTCAGCTGCAGATGAGGCGGGTTTCAGCTGCTCCCTGTGTTCCAGCTGTCTTGAGCACACACTGCAAGAGAGAGGCTAGCCAGACCCAGGGGTGGAGGACTCCGCAACCAAAAGCACGTGCACCAGTAATGCAATGCCAGGAAGTGACAGGGAGGCTGAAAGGTGGTGAACCTGGTTGCGAGGACCTCAGGGTGGGGGTCGGCGTGAAAGCCAGCAGACCTGACACCCTTCACCAGGGGCTGAGGCTGCCAAGCAGCCTCTATGCCTCAGCCACATGGTGGCGCCCTTACTCCTCCCCAGAAGTCCAGAGGACACACGAGACCCAGGGAAGGCCCGTGTGGTGCCGTCCCCCTTGACCTGGCTAATGGCCAGCTCTTCCTTTGCTTCTCGGGTGTACCATGAGGGTGTATGTGTGCAAGACCCTGCTCTGGGCTGAGGTTTAGGTGAACAGAAACTCATGACCGTGTCACCAATTGGGAAATAGGCTCAGAGAGCCCTCCTGACTCTACTGAGGTCACAGGAAGCTCCAGGGCCAAGTCTGGATTCGAACCCAGAGCCATGGTGCCTGCGTCCAGAGGCATGCCCTGGGCTGAGAGGGTCAGAGAGAGAGAGAGATTGATGGGTGTCCCAGAGCAGCACACAGCTCTGCCCCGCAGACTCACTGTCCTCCTTCTGGGCAAAAACAGGGAGGTGACAAAGGGCAGAACCGAGGCCCCAAGATCCTGTGTGCCCTTTTACCTGCCTGGATGAGGGGCCATTTGGGCCCAGCACCTACCAGGCTCCAGGAGTTAAGCCTGGTCTCCAAAGGGTGTTCATGACTTCCCTTCTGCCGAGAGATGAAGGGTCTGAAAGGTTGTTTGCCCCACTGGGGCAAACTGTGATTGGGGAGTTAGAACTTGTGGGAGGGTTTTGGTTTTATACCACAAAGCGTTCGTTCATACACAAAGGAGTTCACTGAACTCCTCCTTTGTACCTGGCCCTAAGCTGGGCTCTGTGGACACAGCTGACTCCCGAGCCTGCTCCTAAGAACTGGTCACTTTTTCTGTTGTACTGGATCTCACACTTAGGCTTTCCACGATGAGGCTCTCCTCAGTTGCTCATGAATTTTGTGTGTAAGAAACTGTGCACATTTGGGACTTCCAGTCAAGATGGCAGTGTAGGTAAACAGGACTTGCCTCTTGGCACCAGTTAGACCGCACCAGTCAGACAGGACTGGAAACTGTGAAAAGTCCATGGCCATGGGTTGATGGGCTTTAAACATGGCTCCAATCCAGAAAAGGGGCTCCCTGAGCTCCTGCCATCCTGAGAGGCCAAAAAACGTTGTGCAGCAGTGAAAGCATTACCTCCTGCAGGGCACCCACCTGGCCTGCCTCCCTTGAGCTTCCAGAAGAAAAACATAAGAACCAATTACCACTTAACAGGCAGACCAATGCATCTACCGCAGGGGTGTGGGGCATAATCCGGGAAAGCACCTGCTGGTGGCAGGAGGCAAGACTCCAGGGGCACGAGGCCTGAGCAGCTCTGCTGGGGGTGGGCAGGGCAGACAGACAGCGAGCAAGAAGGGACACATACGCTCAAAGACAGACAAGGCAGAGACCCACCCACCTATACAAAGGCAGAGCAGGCCAGGCACAGTCCCCACCCACGCCCAGCCTGCTGCCGCCTGCAGCACCCCTGTACCTGGCATACACTAGGTGCTCCAGAAACGCTGACAGAGCAAGAGTGACACATACGGGTACATGCAGACAGAACTGCCCCAGGAATGCATGACAGGGTGGGAGAGTCAGGACCAGGCGGGACCTGGGGGCGCTGCTGGGGCAACGCCCATCGCATGGCCATCCACCTGCGACCCAACACGGCTGAACGTTTATTGGGCTGCCCAGGTCAGAGCCACCTGGATAGGCAGGTACAGCATCGGTAGGTACCGGTGAAGAAAGCGCGGAGGATGCCTGGCTAGTATCACTGGCAGCAACTGCTGGACACCCAATAGGTTCACGTGGAACATTTTAAAGGACCAACAGCCACTCTCCTGAAACCTCTGAACTGGGAGACCAGGGGCTGGGGACAGGGGGAGCCTGGGGTCTGGAGGCCCAGGGATGTTGGCACTTGAGCCGTGGGACCCGTGGGGCAGGCCTGGTTTCAGTCCGCGCCCAGCGTGGGCAGAGGTGCAGCCGTGAACCCGAGCCCCGCCACCTGGGACGCACCATCAGGCTCTGAGAGGAGAAAGTGGCGCCGCCGGGCTGAGGGGCACCAACCTGAGGCTTCGGGCCACGTCCTCATCTGTCCTGCCTCACGGGGATCCTGGCCTTGGCCGACAAGACCCCTAAAGTCACAGTTCAAGAATGACTTTTTTAACGCACTCGATAAAGGTCCTGAGTATGTGGAATGCTGTCACTAGGAAGGGACAGTGTCATCTTCTCATAAAATGCATCAGGAATCTATTTACAGGGCCTGAGGACTCCAATCAGGGGCAGCTGAGGGGCATCCTCCGCCAAAGCCCCCCACACAGGCAGTTCTTGATCCAGCGTTGTTCCCACTGTTTGACAGCCGTTGTCTTATTGGGCGACTTGAGCATGGTGACACAGCCACACCTGCGGGCAGAACTCGGTGGAAGCGGGCGCTGGATGGGGCCCTCTCCGACCTGCCACCGGCCCCCTGCACACGCTGTTCCCCACACCAGGAATGCTCTTCCCTGCACTGTCCCCCATGACGAGCCCCCTCCTCTACATCCTCCTGCCCAGGCTCAGGCACTGCTGCCTCACCTCCAAGTGGGCAGAGCAGTGGGTAGGGGCTCCAGCCCTGACTCAGACACTCCCTAGCGGCGTGGCCCTAGGAGTCAGAACCTATGTCTGGGCTGCGTGGCAGCAACCAGGGCCACGTTTGCAAAGCGCCAGCATAGGGCCTGGGCCCTGCACTGCTGTGGCTGTTCCTTCATCCCTGCACTGGGGTTCCTGGAAGCTCTGCGAGGGCTGGGTGGTCACCTGCTCACCACTGATACCCCGGGAACGGACGTCCAGGATCTCCCAAGGCAGCTTGTCCCTTACAGAAACTGCCTGGTGTGCCCTCTCAGCGGCTCCACGGGGAGTCACGTTCGCAGGTGGGGAAAATGAGGCTCCCAGAGAAGCCTCTCGCCCGGAGGTCACGGAGTGGCAGAACGGGGACAGTGCTTGCTGCAGGACTGATGAAGGGTCCATGGTGGGCAGCTCACCTTGTACAGGACTTGCACTCCTCCGTGGGGTAGGCTCCCAGGTGCAGCCTCCGCAGATGGTCGATCTTGGGTTGG